ACAATTAGAAATTTGAGGAAAAAATTAAATCTGTTACCTAATTGAAATAAAAATATATCTATGAATGATTATGAGATGGGCCAGTTGTATGTGACTCACATCTTATTATATCTCTCTTTTCATTATTTTAGTTCCTAAGCTGTTTTAACTTAATTAGTTATTAACACATGTTTCTGCAAACGAACTGTTTGTTCTTAAATAGAATTAATAATTCCAAAAAGAGAAGGCAAGATAATGATTATTCGTTTCGATGATCTAATTTGTAATTATGTTAGAGGCAACTGCCAAATGCCAATAGATCATGAAAATGTTATTCATGATCTAATTTGTAATTATGTTAGAGGCAACTGCCAAATGCCAATAGATCATGAAAATGTTATTCATGGAGCCTGAACAAATATATAGAAGTTATTATATTTGAAACACATTTACGATGTAACAAATTTTTTAATAAACCATATAACTTTGACTTATCTCATTCAACCATTTTACCTCCTACAATTAGTTTTTCTTATAAGCTGGTCAAAAACGACACAAAAAAAAAATTATATGACTTATCCCAAATCACCTCCATTGTTCAACATGTATGTGACATCCCCTAATTTCTCGGCCAGAAAAGACCGATTTAATTTATGCTTTTTAAAATAAAATTAGAGAAATCTTTTCAAAAGATGTTGCGGAATTGGTCCTCAAACACATATGATAAAGTTGTATCAAAACCCTTCTTTAAAAATGTATATATTTCCCATATATATATCAAAACTCGGGATGTCATGTCCGAGACAGATCAAAAGCATAAACAAGACATTTAAGCCTTCAACAGTTATTTACAACTACTGCCTATATAAAAATCTCTCATCGTCCTCCGACTATGCTCGGGGTCCACTACCTGGCTGAGTGGGTCAGCTTGGGAGCCTGGTGAGCATATAGGGTTTTCAACCCACAATAATAATAACATACTAAGTTCACCAATCAACAATAACCCTGATTTCCCATTCCCGTTGCCCTCACTTTACGTCCCTAAACACCTAAAACAAGGGACTTAACCTAAAGAATATCATCGGGTTGGACACTACTGCTAAGGGGACTCCTCAGCCATACATGTCCTAAAGGCAACCATGAGGGGGATTGGAGTACACCAATGAACATTTAGTTCATCAACACCTACAAGTTGCGAACTTGCTAGTGTACCACTGGACTGTCTAAAAAGGTCCGTGATCGTCATCTATACTCCGCTAGACGACTACAACGATAACACCAACAACAACACCGACACTGAGGCCTCTCATCATTTTTAACACCCACCGACTATATTGTCTACCCATGTTTTACCCAACATATTTGTAGATAAAATACATATACAGTTTAAAACTTGTATAAAACATCAATTCAACAGTCACCTCAAATAAACAATTAACATATTTACACATAACACGTATTTTAAAGTAAATACTTCATATCTATGTGTAAATTGAAAGTAAATACACTCACTTGTTTTGATGATAATCGGGCAGCAATTCGTTTCCTAAAACGTTCGTTTCTAATAAAACCGGGAGTTTTATTGAGAAACCGGGGCTCTGCAAAAGTCGGGCTTCGAAACCGAAAAGATAAATTTTACGGGCTTCACGGGCACTTCGTGGCGTATTCCGGGGCTTATAATTGATACCGGGGCTTCGGGGGATGATAATATGAAAGAAATATGGAGAAAGGGGCTAAAAATGATAAGTTTTCAAAATACCCCCGGGAGGTCTCGCACCCCCCTATTTATAGGGGCCGAAGCTCCTGATCCAATCGTTGAGAAGAGGCCACGCGTCGCTGATCCGGAGCTCGTAGGGGAAGGCTCGCACGAGGCTCGCACCTGCGAAGGCTTGCTGGCATCCTCCTACTGGACCGAGGTCTACTGGTCCGAAGTCGGTTCTGGTGGTGGGGTCCGCAGACGAGGGTGCGCAGATGGCAGCACGTGCGAGGGCCTCGGTGGCGGTTGCTGATTGGACCGCGGACTCGCAGTCCATATGCGAGGCTCGGAGTCGTGGCGTGCGAGGTTCGGATTGGGCCTCCCATCGGTCAAATCAGAATCCGACACGTGGCTTCGCATGACTCACCATTTCGGATACGTGGCACATGCGAGGCGAGGGTGACGTGGCAACTCGTGACTATGCGAATTTTCTCGGTTTTTATGCAAAAACTTCTAAAATCCATAACTTTCGCATACGAGCTCCGTTTTTGACTTTCTTTATATGCACGCGTAGGTAAAATTACGCTCTACAACTTCCGTTTAGACTTCGTCGGCTAATTTTGACTTTAATTTTTAGATTATTATTTTTAACAGACCGGGATAGGAAATCCGTTAAAAATTCATAACTTCTTCATCCGACGTCCGTTTTCGTCAGACTTTTTACCGTTGTGCTACTATTTACAAGACCTTCGATTATCGTTTAGGTCGTGTCAGCTAAAAATCACTCGATCTAAAATTCGAGTTTTTAGCTGTCTACTGCTAAGCTGAAACTTTGAAAAATCATAACTTCCTCATACGAAGTCAGATTTGGGCGTTCTTTTTATCGAACTTCTCGGTTTAACGAACAACACTACGAGTTTCGTTTAGATCACTAAGGCTAAAAAGTAGTTTATCGAAAACTCACTTTTTACGACATTCAGCACCGAGCCGGTTTTGTCGTGAAACTTCGACAGGTCATAACTTCTTCGTTATAACTCGGATTTCGGCATTCTTTATATATCCGTAATCCTTGTCACGACCACTACAACCTTCTTAATAGATATCGGCTTTATCTAAAATTTAATTTTTGACGCTCATTTTTATTCTTAATTAATTAACTTCTAGTAATTAAGCATAAAACACATAAAACACATAGAATTCACATAATTCTTTTTTTTCATTTCTTCAAAATGAGTTACAAAGGTTAACCTAGACTATCACTTTAATATTAATGCCTAGGCTAGAAACACGAGTGTTACAATGTACTCATGATAATATAAATACAATAAATTAACATTAATGAGAATTGAAAAGCAATTAAAACTGTAACCGGTTAAAAGATGGAAACTTACTGAATTCTTTCTTGATTCTCAATTTATGAAGCTCGTCTAAGTAAAAGACTTCATCAAGAAGCGATGAACAACCTGTAATGCATGTAAAACACCACAGTTAACCATTTGTCGCAAAAAATTCAAACTTGTGTCATAATTAGAAACAACACAATAGTGTGTTGGATATTATTGTTGTGGTTTCCAATATTACCCCTACGTCCATCCTAATGACAAAAAAACGACACTGAAACTCAAAAAAGAACTTTACAACTTAAAGACATATCTGTTAATCAGAAAAAAGAACTTTACAACTTAAGGACATCAAATGGTAACAAAGTCAATGGACTTGATTACAAATAAACGAAAGGTATTTTACCTTGTTTGCAAGAAGATCTTTCAAATAATCATCACCTACCTGTCAGACATTGAAAAAAAAAGGTTAAAAGTGAAACCAACAACATAACAGCACTAATAATTATATTATCTAATAAATAAGAAAAAACTGACTCTGCAGTTTCATTTTATGACAAATCCATAAACATAAACAAAATATTTTCATTTAGAGGTATTCATATTTACCTGCATATGTACTATCTTTTGCTGAATTAGGCTTTGATAGCATAACAATAGGCTTTGCAATAGGAGCTTCAACTGAAATCAACATCAAACACATTTAATAAAATAACAAAACTCATACTAAAAAAAATATGCCCAAAATCATAATATAACAGGAAGCAATTTATTATACTCATTATGCCCCTATAATCAACCTAGTCAAAGATAGGATAATAGAGGAAAGAATAAACCCAATGAATGGATTTTTGGAAATGGAACCGATGAAAGGTATGGAGAATAGAATAGGTGAGATGGGTAATGTACTCTAATAAAATTATAAACACAAAAATTGATGATAACTTACTTTCTTATGAGACCCACCAACCTTTGATTTTTCTGTAGATAACAGTTGCTTTGAAGCAAGTATCCATGGATCTTCTTACATATTTTGATACCAGCAATATTTAACACCTATAGAAATCATCTTGGGCTACTTTTGCAGAAATTTTGAAATAAGCATGTAGTGTAATTCATAAATGCAACATAAAAATCAAAGATTTACCTTCAAGGTTGATATATGGCATAAAATAAGAAGTTTTAGGGCTGTTAATTGGAAAATCACAACACCATCGGCACTAACAGCGCTGCTTCTTAACTATGGTGGAATATGCCTGTGGGTGTGTCTCCTGATTGCAGTATGAGACCAATCGTTGAGAAATATCAAACAAAAGTTTCAGTACAAACCAAACCTGAAAACATGAAACAAAACAGAGTTGAGAATCACAATTCACAACACCGGTCACAATTCACAACTCCAGTGGCTGTAGTAAGGTTGGGGAAGTATTCGAGCCCTAAAGAGAAACAAAAGTAAAAATAGTGACGAACAGAAGGTATTACTGTCTCCAGCGCTGCACCCACAATCGAAGATGAGAAGGTGGGGTCGATGAATGGGAGCACCAGTTGGAGGAGTCAGGTGGGAACAGTATTGATGGCGGACGCTGTGGCGAAGCCAGTGTCGCTGGAGGCGGAAGCAGGCAATAAATCGGAGACCGTCAGAGGTAGCACTTACCCCAATCAAACCCTTTAATCGCCGATGGTGGAGGGAATAGAGGGCATACGAATCTTCGAGGTCTTCATCTGAGGCGGTGGACAGTTGAGTTAACCCCGATAAAGAAGCAGAAGGACGATGGAAGGATCGGGAAGATTTGAGGCGGTGGATAAATCAGACGAACCAAAGTCAGGTGAAGTAACCAACCCTGGAACGGTACCCTGGTCCACAAATACAGCAAAATGTGACAAATACAGCAAAACGTAGGGACCTGACAGAAGCAATCAACATAAGTTGGAGGGCCAAATTAAACAAAAAAAATGGGTTGTTTACTGTTAAAACTTTTCATAACTTTAATATATATATAATAATAAAATATTTAGGCTTTATTATTTATTAACTTTCTGTCAATCTACAATTTATACCTTTAGTATATAATTCAACTAAATTAATATAGATCTTTTTATGTTGTAATTTTTGGCTACTTTTAAGTACAACCTATGCCGCTTTAGACTATTTTTTTATCGATTATCTGATGTATCATGTCACAACAAACGTCAGAGTTGGATTCTATTGTGTTAGACATCTACTATCTTTAGACATAATAATTTTGTAAAAGAAAAATAGCGCCTAAAGAAATTATTTGCCGTCACCGCTTTGCGCGGGTGCATAACACATCACTTCTTTTATAGAAATTTATGTTAGTACTTTGTTTTTGTTCCAGTATTGCTGGTATTGTTGATTGCTGAGATCATGTTGCTGCCACTAAATTTAAAGTTGTCGTTCCCCATTCACGTTTTTAGACGAAATAGTTATTTAAACCTCAAATTTGAAAATACATAGCTAGAAAAGTTATTTCTACGATAAATGTTAAATTATACTTAACCACAAACTCAAGCTAAAACAAGTAAAGTCTTAACGACCAAACAATATAAACTTTTCATAATTTATTTGGTCATAAATGTTGGGTTTAAGATTTTCATAGGAATACGACGTAAATAAAAATAAATGACATTGCGTCTATTCAAGTAGGGATGAGATTTAGAATCGGAATAGACATCAACCCGGAATATGTAAAACCGGTCCGGGTCCCGGGTTTAAAGAATGGCTCTATCCGGGTTCCGGATAATCCAGGTTTCGGGTCCTTCGGGTCCGGATAAACCGGGTTTAAGAACCGGAACCGTGTTAGGAACCGGAACTGGTTTTAGGGGCCGGAACCGGTTTCTATGAAAAGTTTAAAACATGCATATCTCATTCGTTTGAAGTCGGATTGGCATGAGGTTTTTTCCATAATATAATTTATAGTTTTTACATGATTTTAGACTATAATTTTGTCATTTTTGGGTTTATATTCATTGACTTATAGTCTCTCAAAGTCGGGATATCAAAGCTGTAAATTTTATGTTTTTCAGTTTTTTTTTTGTATTCTGTGATAGTTTTAAAACATGCATATCTCATTCGTTTAAAGTCGGATTGACATGAGGTTTTTTCCATAATATAGTTTATAGTTTGTAAATTATTTTAGACTATAATTTTGTCATTTTTGGGTTTATATTTATTGACTTATAGTCTCTCAAAGTTGGGATATCAACGCTGGAAATTTTATGTTTTTCAGCTTTTTTTTATATTTTGTGATAGTTTTAAAACATGCATATCTCATTCTTTTGAAGTCGGATTGGCATGAGGTTTTTTCCAGAGTGTAGTTTATAGTTTGTACATGATTTTAGACTATAATTTTGTTATTTTTTGGTGTTTATTCATTGACTTATAGTCTCTCAAAGTCGGGATATCAAAGCTGAAAATTTTATGTTTTTCAGCTTTCTTTGTATTACGTGATAGATTTAAAACATGCATATTTAATTCGTTTGAAGTCGGAATAGCATGCGGTTTTTTCCAAAGTGTAGTATAGAGTTTGTACGTGATTTTAGACTATAATTTTGTCATTTTTGGTTTCATATTCATTGATTTATAGTCTCCCGAAGTTGGGATATCAAAGCTACGATTTTTTTTCTCAGCTTTATTTTTATATTTTGTGAAATTTTAAAACATGCATTCGACCCACTTTACCCGGTTCCCCGGGTTTTTCGGTTTTAGAGCCACTTTACCCGGTTCCATTCGACCCACTTTGATATTTTCGGGTCCGGGTCTACCGGTCCGGGTTTGGACCCACTCTCATCCCTATATTTAAGTATGACTTTCAACCAGACTCCATTTGAATTAGAATTTGAAGTTTTTAAAAATTATAACATAATCAAACCATGAAATTAACGTTGAAGATGCACAAGAATCTTCAAGCAATAGACATTTTTATGAAATCACCAACAATCAAAAAGTTCAAAATATGCTTTGTTTTTATTAAATGCCCAAATTATGTTCTAGGTTTTTAGCATTGTATGTTCGTATTTATAATTTAAGTGGTATAACTGTATTAGATGTTGATTTTTTTATTTATAAAAAATGAACCGAAATGGTTTAATTTGTGACATAATTTCCATCAAAATATTAAGGAATATGACATTTTATCAAGATAAAATAAATTTATTAAATTACATAACAAAAAAAATTATCAAACCCAAAAAATATTAACCTATATTTTCCAAACTTAACCGTAAACCAAACCAAATAAACTAAAAGTAAATTCCGTTAAATCTTATTCAGCTTTATATTAATATTTTAAAAGTAAATACATGATATAAGCGAACCGAACACAAACTGATAACCAATTAAAAAGACTAGCTAAAAGCAAAATGTTATTTGAAATTAAGTTAATGAGAGTTTTGATATTTAACAATTATCGAATGAAAAGTAATTTTTAATTAGCTTTACACATAAGGGTAAAACGGTTTTTCAATGCCAACAAAAAAAAATTTGTTTGTCGTATATGCCAAATAAAACTACTGTCGAAAGAAAGTTATTCACCAAAATAGAACTATTTGTAACCTAAAAAAGACGTATTTTTATTTTGAACCCGAAACAATGTGCAGAAAGAAACACTAATCACCATTTGAAACTATTTGACGAATAAAACTAATTTGCAGCGCTGCATGGTGCGGGTATACCATATATATATATATATATATATATATATATATATATATATATATATATATATAAAAGTCCTCATACAATACGTTTGAAGTCAATTAAGTAAACTTGATATATATTATATAAAATAAAGACGTTACATTATTGATACATCAAGCACGTGTTGTGAAGTTTTCTATGACGTTGTTTTCAAAAGTTTGTTTTGTGGAACTTTTGAAAGTCGTTAATATATATGGGTAAATTACACCAATTGTCCCTCGCCCAAGTATTGAAAAACATGTTTAGTCTTTATTTTCAAAAATTAACTCGGACCGTTCCTCGTTTGTTTTAAATGTGCATGCTTCGTCCCTAATATGCGATTTTATTGCGATTTTAGTCCATGCCATATTTGAAATGACCATAATGCCCTTTATGTATTTCTTTTCTAATTAATTTTACGTTATTGTTATTGTTATTAATTAAAAAATAAAAAGAAAAAAATATGGTCCTACTTCATATCCAACCCCACCTCCCCATCCAACCCACCTTCCTGTTACTGTCTTTCTTCTCTAAATTAAAAAAAAAAACCCACAGCCATTCATCCTTAAGCCACCGCCGGTGGATAATCTCTCCGATGAACCCTGTCTGCGTCCATCACCATCTCCGGTGAACCCTCTCTCTCTGTCTATTGTTTGAAGAACACTTAATCACCACCATCAATGAAAATCAACACCACCACGGCCTAAACCACCACAGGGAGACTGCAGCACCACCAGAAACTTACCTTCCTCAGCCTTACAACTCTTCACAGTCGCACACTTCCACAACTGATCTGTCTCTCAAAACCCCTTTGTAAACCGAAGAAAATTTGCTCCTCCTTAACAAATTTGACACAAAAACCTCAGGTAATATTTCGGCGGAACATACATCATATCTAGGGTTTGGAACTGAGGTGGAGGTGGAACTAGGGTTAACAATCGAAGATGAAGGCGGAAAACAGCATATTTGTTCTTCATTTTCTATCGGTGATGGTGAGGGAGAACACAGTGACGATGGTGCGGAGAAGAAGGGTTTGGTCGGAGTGCAGATGAAGGGTGGTGCTTCAGGCATCGTCGGAAGTGCAGATGAAAGGTGGTGGCATATCTAGCTTTCCTTAACACCATGACCGCCAGCTCTTAGGATTTCAAACCGACGCATGAAGCCATGGATCTCATTTACTTGTGCGCCGCCATCGATCTCCATTGGCTAGAGTTTCGAGATCGACGATGCTAAGACCAATCTCCTTCTTCACCTGTGTTCATATCGATTTTCGACAGGTGTAAAGTTTTCAGATTATGTTTTAGTTGGAGGGGGTATTGGAGGTGATAGATGGTTGTGCCGGAGGAGATGACGGTGACAGGTGGTGGTGCCGGAGGAGATGACGGTAACAGGTGGTGGTGTTGGAGGTGCAGGCAGTGATAGGTGGTGGTGGGTTATTTGCGGAGAACCTTGCTGCAGAGATGGGGAAATGGAAGGCGAGAGGGGATATTTGATTGATTTTTTTATTTTATAAAGTTAAAATAAATAAATAAAAGAAAATGAAAAAGAAATTACTAAGGGTAAAATCGTCATTTAATGTCAACAGGGACCAAGCATGCAAGAAAAATGAAACCCAGGGACGGTCCAAGTTAATTTTTGAAAATAAGGACTAAACGTGCTTTCTGGCATGTGCACGAGAGACGATCTGTGTAATTTACCATATATATATATATATATATATATATATATATATATATATATCGTCGTGATTTTTACCATAATTTTTTTTTCTTTTTAAAACATTCATTTAATAGAATACGTTAGCGGAAGACTTAGTTCTTTTTTTTATTCAAAACATTTTCGAAACCACAACGTTACTTCAAAAATTCAAACATAATTCCAAACCATTTAAAATGTAAACAATAGTACTTTAAAGTAAATAATAAAAAACGTATCCAAGAGTGGTATCGTTAATATAAATCTACTACCCATAAGAACCCCTCTCACCAAGGCCAATCTTCTAAACTGCCTGCACCAATCATAAGGCACAAAAGAGAAAAGATACAAGTGTCAGCCCCTGCTGAGTGAGTTCAAAAAGTTGCACATAAAACATACAAACCCCAAATGGGTCAATCATTCATTTTATGATGAAACATAAAAATGATAGACAAGTAAAGATAGCAATACAACCGCATAATATAGTTAACCAGTCATATATTCCCCTGCATACATGCATAAATGTTCAACTGCAATTCTACCACATAACATATATGACCGCCCAAATACAATATAAACAACTAAATAGCATGTAAACAATCACATTTCATATATAGATAACCTTTACTTGTTCAACCTTTTATTAATAACCAACCTTTTGTTATATATTCAACCTTTTAATATACAACCAACCTTTGTTATATATTCAATCTTTTAATATGCAACCAACCTTTGGTTGCATGTTCAACCTTTTAATATTCAACCAACCTTTTGTTACATGTTCAACCTTTTATTATATCTATCCAACCGATTGATAGAAAAGTGTCCCTTAGTGCTACCTAACCCAAGAGAAACACCTCGTTCAGTACTTGTGTGCACGGCCAGCCGAATGCTCTAAGTGGCTCATGACTTCCCCCCGAAACACCAACCCCGTGACTCCACTTTCGCTACTGTCGCACCCCCAAACCAGAATGGCGGAAACATTCGGGGCGGAGGACTTTAGGTAAGTATCACAACACATGCAATATAGTAATCAAATTACAAACAACCATTGCATTAATAAGTATAAGTTTTACATAAGTGTTCAAACATTACATATTCAAACACTAAAATAGGTACAGTACAAGACAAGAGTCACGGTACGGTACTAGATAGTCTTCTCAATAGCTTCGGGAGTGTACCTGTCTACTGGATTCCTGAGAATACAAGTTATTTGGAAAGAGTATATAAGCATTTAAGCTGGTGAGTTCATAAGTATTTTAGTTCTGTTAAGTATACCCTAAGTTCTTTGAATAAGTTCATTGGTTTCTCCAGGAAATCCTATATTTCCTGAGGTGATTAACTGATAACCTCAATAGTTTCCCTCTGTAATTACTTAGTTTATACTGATTATATATAACACAATATCGAATGGGCAGTCAAATGGGTGTATCTGCCCTAAGCCCACAACCAAACAAGGAACAGGAAGTAAGGCGGAAGTCACACATTTCACTGTCAATCGGACATTACTTATGTATAACTATGATGTAATAACTAAGGAATTATAGAATTAACCACTAAAGTTCTTTTATGTTATACTAGTTTACAAAGATTGAATGACTAAGCTTCATTTGATAAGTGGTTTAATCCCATAAACCGTTTCCTTTGTATAAGTGGTTTAATCCCATAAACCGTTTCATTTGTAAAAGTGGTTTAATCCCATAAACCGTTTCATTTGTAAAAGTGTTCTTAGTTATATCTGTTCTATAGTAAAAACCTTAGTATTAATCCTGGAGAGTATTGTATTATCCATAATACTGCCTTGTGGTTTTAAATGTTCAAAACCAGAAGTACAATACTTGATTTCATGATACGTAGTTTTTACTGTAAGTAAAAAAACTACTGAAGGTATATCTGGTCGGGATGTAATTAACTTTTCTTACTGTTATAAGAGAAGTATATTAGTTTGTAATTCACTCGTTGTTTTATCCATGTGAGTCCTATTAACTATACTAATACGACTGATATGCCTGCGGCGACGTTCTTCAGGTGTCAGAACTGGAATGATATTTGACACCCTAGGCCTGCCGGCCAAACTGTAGCGAACAGTAGAGGTGCGGGATTGTCAGTCCCATATAGATCTATACACAAATTCACGCTCTCCCTACAAGAGAGTCTGGCTAATAGTTCAGGACTTAAAAGGTCGTACTTAGATAAGTACATCGTGAAGGGTCTCACAAATTTATTGTTTCAACGAGATTTACGATGTATTATTATTACCCTGTGAATGCTAACTCTGGTACTTTGTATCGTACCCTTGGTTAATGCAAACCCGGTATAATGTATTATTACCTCGTGTTTGCTAACTCGGGTACTCTGTATAGTACCTTTGCTAATGCAAACCCGACAGAATGTATTATTACCTCGTGTTTGCTAACTCGGGTACTCTGTATAGTACCTTTGCTAATGCAAACCCGACATTACCACATGTTTGCTAACTCTGGTACTCTGTATAGTACCTTTGTTAATGTAAACCAGGTATGATGTATCTTTACTTCTTTAATATGTTGTTCGTATATTAAAGGTATTATACATAACTTTGGTATAGTTGAATGTATTTTGGTAATTTCCTTGGAAAGTATACAGTTGTGAATCATACTTGTATCTTTAGTTTTGAATCATAAATTATACCTATTATAATTTATATGTTCTATCTGATTAGCATGGTTTCTCATGGATGAACACCTTTGCTCAGCCTGATACAAAGGTGATGATACCAAAAGGAGTAACATTTTGTACTCACATATATATATATATATATATATATATATATATATATATATATATATATATATATATATATATATATATATAATTAAGAAGGAAACGACCTTCGGACAAATAATACAACCCTAATTCCACATCCAAACAAGGAAAATGATATAAGATAATTCATTAGTCCTAAGCCCTTCAAATCTTATTTATATATTTATACATATATAAACATGATTTTGGAATTTATACTTTGAAATCGCTTATAAAACATTTTTCAAAGAATTTGACAGAGTTTACATGACTTTTAAGATTTAACACGGCTTTAAGTTATTTTGGAAGTATTTGGTAATTCTTAAAAGCATACGGACACTTTCTGTGTGATTATTATCACACACAGTTATTAACACAATTTATTAATGTGTTATACTTGTATCCCCCCCCCCCAAAAAAAGCATTTAAAAACCATTGAAAATGTAAATTATAGGGGTATGAACTCACTTTGATAAGCGGTGATTCGGGCAGCGTTTCGTTTCCCGTAAAGAGTTTATTTGACGAGAAACCGGCTCAAACCGGGCAGAGTTTCGGCAGGATAGAGGATAACTTCTCGAGAATTCCGGGGCTCCGGGGCTTGCTTCGGGCTTTAGACACGATACCGGGGCCTTGGGGGTCGTGAGGAAGTTTACGGGGTTAAAATGTGAATTTTGGGAAGTTTTGGGGTGAAAAAGTGTCTTTCATCCGAGAAGGCTCGCATGCCTTATATAGGCCGCAGCCTCGGATCCGGAGCAGAGGGAAGGAGACACGTGTCTTGGACAGGTGGCAAAATGGTGGTTCGGCTCGGACAGGTGGCTTCGCGAGGCTTCGGTTCGGATCTGGCAGCTTCGGATTGGACCCAACTTCGGTCCAATGGGCAGGCTCCACGAAGGTGCGAGGGTCATCCGAGGAGTATCCACGGGGTGCTCCTGCGAGGGTGTCCGAAGCTTATTGGACCTCGGCTGCGGTCCACTCAGAAGGCGACACGTGAGCTGCGGTCCAACCAGGAGCGAACACGTGGAGGACACGGGGAAGCCTCGCATGCGAGGGGTGACGTGTCCGAGGTGACTCATGCGAAATTTCCCGGTTTTCAACATTTTCTTGATTTTTGTGCCAAAAACTTGCGAAAATCATAACTTTCGCATACGAGCTCCGTCTTTGGCGTTCTTTATATGCACGCGTAGGTAAAATCATACTCTACGACTTTCGTTTAGACTTCATCGGCTAATTTTGACTTTATTTTTAATAATATTATTTTAAACAGACCGGGACGGGAATCCGTTAAAAATTCATAACTTCTTCATCCGACGTCCATTTTCGCCTGTCTTTTTACCGTTGTGCTACTTTTGACGAGACCTTCGATTCTCGTTTAAGTTGTGTCGGATAAATATCGATCGATTTATATTTCGAATTTTTAGCTGTCTACTGCTAAACCAAAACTTCGAAAAATCATAACTTCCTCATACGAAGTCAGATTTTGACGTTCTTTTTATGAACGTTCTCGGTTTAACATATTCTACAACTTTCATTTAGATTGTTAAGGCTAAAAATCCTTTTATCGAAAATTCGCTTTTTACACTGAACAATGTTTT